CATCATTAAATAATTCAAAGATTAATGCTTTTAAATTCGATTTAGCATATTATTTGGATTCTGTAGGTACGAGTAATGAAGGTTTGGATACGATGGCAAATCTTGGCATGATTATAACATCAAGGGTGGTAGACCAAAAGAAAAAGAAAATTTCAGATGCTCATGAGAAATATGTAGAAAATGCTCTTTCAAAATATTTGAATAGAGCTTTCGTGCTGAATATTGATGACTATCACAATATTCAAGTTTCACAGCAGTCTGATTCTCCTAATACATCTCATCCAACACACATGGCAACAATTGTGGCAAATCCATATTCCATGGCGGTGATACCAAGTAACAGAGGTACACAATCTAAAATTTCTTGATAGTGATGTTATAATAAAACATTTCGACGAATGGTTTATTATAAGCCTTGGTATTCCTTATAATGAACATTGTCAAAATTATAAAGGTGAGTGTTCTGACGATGTGCTCATTGAAAAACTAACTTTGCATAGTTACAATGACAGGTTAGTGAAAAAAAAGAATGACTAACATATACAAAATACCATTTTTTTTGATTTTGTTAGAGGCAATTTGAAGGGAGTTGAAGATTATACAAAAGCTCTTCAAATTGTATATAATCAAGAATCAATGCAAGAATATCTTTCCAACCACGTAATCCCTATCATTGCAGATTGGCCTGGTCAGTTCTTTATTCACAAGGCCATTGCACATTGGCTTCTTCTCAACAATAAAATCATTCCTTTGTTTGTTACATCATTCTTGCCTATTATAGAACCTCTTCATGTGTCTTTGAATAGTTGGGAACTCGTTTATAAGAAAAATTCCTTTCTATTTAACGATATTTACAAGGGCATATTTGGAAAAAAGAAAAATCTTGATAAGAAGCCACGGCCATGGTGAATCGATTTAATCCTTCAACTTATGCGTATGGCGTGTCATGACATATCTAATGTAGTTTATTCGAAGTTTGGTCAAACATGCAAGAATCTTGAATTTTTATATCTAACTGATCTTTTAAGCAATTTAATTCCTTTAGTTCTCGATGTTTATAGGGTGCACCATTGAGAAGGTGACTGGGCAGCTTATGAAGAAGCTTGTTTACATTTTTGAAGTGATTTATTTCTTTGATTTGATCGAAGAAATTATAAACGTGCTCCTTTAATGTTTTTTTCAGATATATTTTTTTGGACAGATACTAACTATCTATGAATATAATTACTAATCATTTCGCATCTTTAAGCAATTGTCCTGTAGAAACTGTTCATAGTGTCATTCGATGACATTCGGCTAAATTTTTCATGGCAGATCAATTGGAAAAAGTGGCACGTTTTATGTTTCAAAATCAGGAGGATAACACATTTCATCAACACTTTGTAAATTCTATGAAGTATTCTTACAAACTGAAGCAATTACACATGTTATCTCGCAAATGTGCTACAGTCCTTTTAGAAATATTTACAAAGATATATGAAGCATGCTATCTGTATCCTTTGATTGTTAGTTCATCTGATGATAGTAGTAATTCATATAAGTTGCCTTCTTTAGGCTATAAGATAACTGATCACCACCTTCCAAGGGGTTTTGTTATCTCTAGGAAACTGTATACAAGTGTATTGTGTGATTATTTACATTGCGATTGTACTAATTATACAAATTTTTCTGAAAATGGTATTGTTCTTGTGTGTGGGCATGGTTATCATAACTATTGCTTACAAAGATGCAACTTTAAGTGTTTAATTTGTTTAGGTTATCTTCGGGATGAGATTAGAACCAACATCGAAGCACTCAAAGTAAGTATGACGAAAGATTTAGGTGAAAATGAATTTATTGAAGAGCATACTGAAAATACTATTGAGGATGAATCAGACGATGCTGAGGCAGTAATGGATATTGCAGAAATGGTGGATAATTTATTAGAAAATGCAAAAAACAATTTTTTAAATATTAAATAAATCCGACCCTTAATTATTATGTAATATATTAAAACTTTTTTAATAAATCCCGTGGTATATCTTGTAAAATTAAAAATTAAAATTTTTTAATAAATCCCGTGGAAATGTTTCATTATGATCTCGATGTTCCAATCCTTGCGAATGAATTGCTTCTAATTTTCTGAATCATCCCTTGATAGCCCATAGTATTCCAAGAACGATAATTTTTATATCCGATCTTGTAAAATGCTTCAAGTTTTAAAAAAAATAAATAAATAAAATTTTAGTCAAATTCAAATTTTTACAATAGAATTAATAAAAGATACTTATCGTTTGCCTATACGTAGTCAAATTTCGCAATTTTGATTGGTTGAATCGGTATGATGATCGACGGTCCTGAGTCAAACCATGGTTTCCATATTTGGGACGGTCCTACCTGTACCTAAAACTAAAAAGAAAATTAGAATCTTGAACCCGGGCAATGCCGGGTCCTAAGAGCTAGTGCTTATAATAATGCATCATATGTGATCATAATATTACTAGAAGAAAGCTCGCAACTAACGAGACACAATCTAGACCATTGCCAAAAATCCATAAAAGGCTAAATGGCAAATTGAATACGTGAAGTCGTCTGATCTTGAAGTTTCCCTGTTACAGGCTTTTAAGTAATTAATTAATAAGGTAGCTGCACGATACTGTAATGCAAACCAGCAACGTAAATCTATGAAATAACTTGATCAGATAATCTGAATACTCTGTTTATATATTGGATATCAGCATAGAAGAAAATTAAAGCGAAGTATTGTTATATTCTTGAAGGAAATGTAAGAATTTTTGAATTGATGATTATTAAAAATTTAAATACAAAGAAAGTGAAATTCTGCACATAAACTTCACGATAACATAGTACTATATTTATTATGAGATTTGGTTAACCAAAACGAATGTTCAACTTTTATTTTTTTTTATCACTTTTAACAGTGAATGATAATCATTTGCAAAAATGTGCTGTCCTTCGAAATTGCACTAACCAAATATGAGTTTGTTGTTAGATAGTCATTAACGGCTTATCTGAATCAGTTTTAGTTGCATAATGGAGCCAATTCAAATTTCACTAACAAAACAAGCGAAAAAAAAGTGAAAGTGAAAAATACAAGAAACAGTAGTCTAAATTTACTTTGTTGCATGAATAAAAATGCCGGGGGCAATTGATTCTAAATCTAACCCTAATATTAGACCACGCGAAGCTATTTTTTGGTTTGCATTACCCATCAACCAATTTTTTCAAAAAAAAAATTTTAAGTCCTAATTGTGCCAATTATTCTATTTTTATTATTTGATCTTTTTCCATAAATCAATCCGATATCACCCTATAGAGACATTATTTTCCGAAATTATCCGTTAGATCAGATAAAAAAATTTGACTGCCGACCCAATTTTCTGATTCGATGTTATGTGGCCTCAAATGTGAACATGAGTCTATTAATTTCACTGTAGATTAAAAAATCCGAACGAACGACCGTGGATTTTTGAAATCCATGTAATGCAAAACATAAAATCAACTTTGTGCATCCTTATAATTGCACATTTTAAGCAACCATCATATTTATGACATTCTTTACATTATGTTTAACCAGAATTAGACTCGAAAATTAGCACTAATATATTGATTTTTAACACAATTAAATGATTGAGTGGCTTTATTGAAAGCAAACATTCGTCGTGTCAATAAATAATGAATTACGTATAAAGTATTAAAAATGATAAATGAAATACTAAGATTAAAGCTTTTCTAATTTATAGGTTGTTTATGAATGATTTTAATATCTAAATTTTCACAAACAGTGAACGCAGAAGTTCTAAGTTTAAGAGGTGCTTTCATATCTACGAGTTCAATATCAACTTTTCTATAAAGTAAAGCCAAAAATAATTTCATTTCAATCATTGCAAGATTTTTACCTGGACATACTCTTAAACCTCCACCAAACATTGAAAACGCTAATCTATGTTGACTTCTAATTCCTTGAGATTCATAAAATCTTTCCGGAATAAATTCATCAGGATTTTTCCAATAAAGAGGATTATTATTAATTCCATGAACAAACATATTAAAAAAAGTATTTGATGGCCATTTAAATCCCGCCACTTCTTCAGGTTGACTAGTTATTCTTGAAATCATGCTGAATGTAGGTCTTATTCTTGCCGATTCTTTAATAACTGCTTCACAATATCTTAACTTATTAAGGTCATCTAGGGTTATCGGTCTCGTCAGATCATCTTTGAAAACTGTTTTTATCTCTTCAAATAATTTTTTTTTAACGCTTGGATGATGTGAAATATAATATAATGCATAACATAAAGTATTCGTGACCTATATAATAAGTTATTAATTATAATAAATTAAGTATTTTATGAAAAATGGTTATATTAATTCAATTATTTAATAATATTTATATTATTTAATTTTAATATATTTTTTTCTTACACCTCACCATAATAGCTATTTTTACGTACCGTATCCGTAGTTAAATATGAATCAAATATAACACCACGTATTTCTTCATTAGTCATTGGTCTTAATAATGAAGGATCAACATTTATTTGAGGACAAGTTTCATACGGAGTATTTGTAACAATCATAGAAGTTAAGAAATCATTTCCCAATTGTTTTTGATCGAAGTTACTACAATTAATGACTTTTTCGATTTCCTTTCTCCTTTTTCTAATTCTTTCTTCTAATATTTTATATGCGGTGTCGCAATAATGCTTCATTTTCATAACACGACCTTTGACCTCAGGAAAATACATTAAAATTTTTGGCATAAATAATATTTGACAATCACTCGCAAAGTTGACTATGCACTCCGCAAAATTTTCAACGTCTGACATCTCTTTTGTCATATCAATTTTTTTAAATTTGCGATAATGAGCTTCGATCGCAAATGATCGTCGTCCAGTTATAAATACAGAATTAAAATCATTAAAAAGTCTATTAATCCAAGTAGTCACATCAATAACTGTTATATCTTCATCAGGTTTCTTCAATTTAATCCAATAACTCATTGTTTCTTCAAATAAATTATTTATTAATCTACTAGTTTCTTCTGAACAAGATGCTGTCCTGACAGGTCGTGAAAAAATCTGACGATTAAATTTCCAATGATTGTAAGTAACATTAAACACAAGACCTTTATTTTCAAGATCAAAATATTTTAAAAGCCCATCGTTATGAGATCTCATTATATGCTTCATATGCTTATCTTGATCCGATGATGACATTGACGGAAACATAAAGACTTCCGCATATTCTGCTCGAGTAATTATTATTTGCCTAATACCAATCATATTTAATTCAAAGATTCCATTTTGACCATAAAGTTTAGTTAATTTATAAAGATATGCATCAATATCTAGATCTTTTTTAAGAACTTCAAAAGTTCCTATTAAAGGAATTGGTATTGGACCAGGTAGAGGATTTGGACGAGTAAAATGTTTGTAATAAAACCGAAATATATAAAAGCATATTAATAACAAAAATATTTTAAAAATATCAATTTGTTTAATAATATTACTTAAAATTATATAAACCAAATTCATTGTTATTATAAGATAATTATATGATATTGTATTTATTAATGTTTCTAAATTTTTTTTTTTAAATAATTTCTGTAAGAATTCATCACTTGTATAAATATTTTAATCTCTTAAAAAAAAGAAAAGAAAGTCAAAGTAAATATACTCAATAATCAACATAATCAACTGATACAAATTGAGCAGATAATCCAAATCTTTACTATTTTATTCTCTTTTTGATAATGAATTCGAATTATTGCCCAATGATCTAATAAGACTTAGAATGGTATTTTCATTCTATCACAGGTTGAATGAAGGCAAATCGGGTTCCAACCAATCTTAATATGAACCTGATTTTGAAATATATATTTAGCGCAAATAGGAGACCTTTAAGGGGTTCATATATTAATATAGGCGTTCAATAATTTCGAAATGCCTATAGCTCTATTGGTAAATCAATAAGGCTTGCCTTATAGCTTTATCTATTTGCCTACAGATCTATCAGTATACCTTATTATCTGCACTCATAAATTAACAATAATACCTTAATTCCATATTACTTTTCTCGTAAACACAACAATTTTATGCTTAAAGCTTAGTAAATCTTTCTCATAAATTACACGATAAATAACACAAAAATTTGTTCTGCCTTAGTAATGATTGCCGCCCCGAAACACATGAAAGCCAATCATTTATTTGATAAAGCAAATTTATTGACATTAATTCTGTAATTGTCGTATGACCAATATTTATAAGGTAGCTGGGCGACAGACACGCAAAACCAGGGACGGAAGGCAATTTATATAATAAGAAAATCATTCGATATTTTTGCTTAGAGGTATGGATCTAGAACTTAAAACTATAAAAAAAATGTATTAATAGAGAAAATTGCATACTTAAATCCGTGTAAAGCAAAGCCATGTGACAATCAATCGGTAAAAAAGTCATGCATTCAAGAGAAGAATCAATGATCAAATAATCCGATTGACCAATAATTTATTTTAAGCATTTGGGATCTTTGCTAGGATTTTTTTTTCTAAAAATAGATTTATTATGTTTTTCTTAATAAAAATCCTGTGTAACAATGGCTCGTGGGGTCATTTTGCTAGCAAAGATCCCATTTGATTTATACAGTTTAGGGTGTTCTAAATAGTGCTCCGAATCGGGTCGGGCCAACCCGAAAACCGACCCGAGTTTTCGGGTCGGGTCGGGTTCGAGTTAGAAAAATCCGACCCGAAAATTGTCCATATTAGGGATAGAGGTCCGAACCGGATGCAAATTTATAACCTTTGAAATCGGGTACCCGGGTGAAAACGGGTTATATAGTATAAAAGGTAAAACGTATAGATTTTTTGCTTTTAGCGTTACAAATACTTAGAATCAATGCTGGAAAGGATATGTTCTTTTAGGATCACCTTGTTTTTTTCTAACAATTTGACTGTGGATACAGTGCCTTGACTCTCGAAAGATAACCCGTTTGCCTTTGATTCTATATTCCTTAGTTTGCGGCATTGTTGTTTTTGAGCATTCCTCAAAAGCAGAAAGCTATGCTTTTATATTATCCACAGTCAAAACGTTAACAAACATATTAACTTCAAATTGTTGAATTTCAAAACCCTCATAGGTACAATATGGTGGCAATTTTGTAAGATGTCGGATCATATAGCTATAATTCGAAGGAAAAATAGCTTGCAGAAAATCAGGCAATGAATCTCACGACAAAATCTAAAAACATACAAAATTTTTATTGTTATTATTATGTGGCAAAAGACTTATTTTTTCTTTATAATTCAATTTACCTCACAAGAATTTTCAATATTCGTATAATCAACAAGATTTACAGTATCTTGGATCGCTTCATAAGAATTAACATCGTATTCAGTACAGTCGATCTTTATAAATCATAAGGATAAAAAATATAAAAATAAACAATCGTTAAACAAATAACAAATATTAACAAAAGCAAGAATAGCTTTAACTTACTTCAATTCCTTTATCCACTCCTAACATCAATGTCATCATCCACACCAGTATCTTTATCCCCTTCCATGCCTTTATCAACACAATGCTTTTATCCATTCCGTTGCCATTATCAGTGGTTAAGGTCTCTGAAGCATTCATTTGTGTTGAAAACGTATCCCTCGTATGATTTATAAATGCATTGAACATGTTATTTGTGAATAAATTGTCTGTATGATACGTGAATGTATTTTCTATGCGATTTGCAAAGGTATTTTCCATACAATTTGTAAAAGCAGTTTCCATACGATTTGTGAAGGCAGTTTTCATACGATTTGTGAAAGCAGTTTCCATACGATTTATGTAAGTATTTTCCATATAATTCGTAACCACATTTTCCCTTACATCATTTGCAAACATATCCATATCCCCAACTGAACGATTAGTGAATACAAAGGTCATACTTTCGTGAAAGAGAAGGTCGATTTTTGCTGCCCTAAATATGAATTGTGAATAAGTTACCGCTTTAAAAAAAAAAAAATTCTGATCCACTAACTACTTACGTAAAATTAGATCTTTTTTTTTTTAATTTAATTTATTGGTTGCTTGACGTTTCCCAACTAATCGTACAAACCACAATTCTTGGCTTTATAGATTGATTGCCGTTGTCCAAGTCACGTTTCACATTCTAACACTTGAATATGCTTAAAGGATTTTTTATTTTTTTTTTATTGTTTTTTTTTTTTTTTTTTAAATTTAATTTATTGGTTGCTTGACGTTTCCCAACTAATCGTACAGATCACAATTCTTGGCTTTATCTTATAGATTGACTGCTGTTGTTCCACATTCTAACACTCGAATATGCTTAAAGGATTTGTATTTTTTTATTCATGCACCCGCTTTTTATTCTTCCACACCACACTTCACCTTTTCAACATCGAAACTCTCCTTGTCACCAAACTTCTATCCACTCACGACGATATTTCTTAGTGCTGGGTTTATTCAAAATAACGAAATAGAAGAAGTGTGATCTGTAAGATCGAAATTCATATTTCTGTATTTATTTATTTTTCAATATGCACAATTGCATCACTAATTTGTTTCAGACTCTAAATTACTCAATTAGACTCTAAAATTACTCTGTAATTATTAGGATTTGAATCATTTTTCCTTGTACTTGTACAACCTAACCCGGTATTAAGTTACATCATAATTTTATGTTACACTGCATTGATTGACATAACGATCGACATAACCTGGCACAGAATGTAGGGGCTCCAGTAGGGGTGTTAAAAAACTTGAGTAAACTCGAGTCGACTTGGTGTAACACAGAGGTCGACTTAGTCGACTTCTAAATGACTCAAAAAAATCATATGACTGATTCTCTAGATTTTATAGATTTTATTATGATAACGATAAAATAAACTATATACGATATACAGAACTATATATTTTTTTTTATTCAATAACTCCCTCCTCAAACCAACTTTTTAGGCCTAAAGAAGCTCTAACTGTATCCTCAAAAAGATTAGTTCTAGCAGAATTTATAGTATTCTTGGCAATAGAAAAAGCACGCTCACAAGGAATGCTTGTAACCTGTAAGGCAAAGTAGTCTGCTGCAATGCGGGCTATAGTTGGAAAACGTTGAGCATTAGTTTTCCACCACAGTAATGGATTTATACCTGGTTCACAAGAAAAAGCTAAGTATGCCACTAACTCATCCTCTGTGTTTGCTACAGTTTCTCTGTGTATATCACTTTGTACTTGCATTAGTTTTCTAAAGGTTTCCAATAGATCTTTAATTTTGATAATTCATTCTGATTTATCTTTTTTATATAATGAATAAAAATCTTTTAATTGATTAATAGCTAATATACGATCAGTTTCATAAAATGCTTCAGACTTAGTCGATGGATTGAGAATACCAGGAATGGCAGAAGATTTATTAAGATAAATCCAATATTCATTTAGTTTGTTTTTCATTTCTTTAATTGTTTCACTATATATACTAAAAATGGGATCATTAAGGTGATTTAAAAGTCCCTGAATAATTAATCGTAAATATCCATGTGAGGGTTGTGAAGCATCTAAAAGGGTCAAAGTTGCTGTATAAAAGGGTTTGAGAAGTTTCATCATTTCTTCAATAATTTTCCAATCGTCGGCTTCCAAATAATTATCTTTTAAATTTGGACGAGATTGTACGAGGCCATCGGTAACATTACGAATATCAATAAGTCTTTCAAGTATCAAATAGGTAGAATTTCACCTTGTCTCAACATTAGTTACTGGATGGAGAAATTGACAGTCTAAAATAGCAGATATTCTTTTCATTTCCTCTAAATGTGTAGGCAATTTTATTTTATTACAAAAATGTCGGGCCTTCTGAATCTGGCAAAGATATTTTTTTTGACCTGCTTTAACTACAAGATAATAACATGAGCTGCACAACGTATATGCTCAAGTTTTGGATTTATAGACCTTTGAAGAAAACGTAGACACGTCAAATTATTTGCCACATTATCACTAGTGAAGCCTATTACCCATTCTTCAATCTCCAGAGCTTTAATAACTTCAAGAATTTTTTCTCCAAGGTATTCTCCTGTATGGGCATCATGAAGAGGAATGAAATCAAGAAGAAGAGCTTTTGCCATTCATTCAGTATCGATCCAATGGATCGTAATTCTGAGAAAAAATTGCTGATTGCATGCTGTCCAAACATCCAAAGTAAGTGCTAATTTATTTGGGCTAGCCTTTAGAGTCTCCTTAATTTTTATTTTTGCTAATTCAAATTGTTTTTTTATATTTGTAGATAATGTTTGAC